AAAAGAAAGAATCATTGCCATCCTGACATCTAGCTTGGTGCATGAATTTATGCTTTATGCGCACTTGCCTCTAAATCAGATACTCTAAGTTCATTAGTGAGCTGTGCCAAGTGGAGTACTGTACAGCACACCAAAGGCCCTCCCATCCAGCTTCTCTTTTGTGTTACGAACATGGATTGAGTTTACAGAGCCAGACTTCCATGGGATTTATCTCTTCTCTGCTGACATCTAGGTTAACATTTGAGGTAACAGGCCACACAACCCATAAAAGGGATTGCACAGCGTCATGGTCTCACCAAAACGGGCTCCCCTGTTTCATGGTAGAGTAGCTTAGAAGGCCATTGAAAATGAGCACAACTATCTGATAAAAGACAAAGCTCCTCCTTTCCATAGCCATGGCTATGAAAATGACATTAGTTATACCTTTAGTATCCTTAAGGCTAAAGGGAGAGGCACATGTGACCCCTTGGTCTCGCAGTTAAAATAAATTTCATGACAAAATGTTTGTTCTCCTGTCATCTTGCTAGCTGGGTGCTTCAGGAGCTTGGATAACACATGTTCAGAACTGTACACAGCTTGCTGCCCATCCCCCCAAATTAACAGATTCTGAATCTACAGCTTGTGCAAGGTATGCTGATGTGTCTGCAAAGGTTTGCTTTGCACTGAATGGATCTGCCTTAGCTTCAAAATACATCAGCAGCATAGAAAATCTCCCTCTATCTTAAATGAATCCCTGGTGGCAATCTGGGTTTAACTGTATACAAAACCAAGGTTGTTTCTTGTTTAGGGCACATCCTGAAGGTCCTGAAGGCCTGCAGGTGTTCATGGTGCCAAAACTGGACACAGGATGCCGAATCCCAGATGTGTGAGGCTTTGCAGAAACCACCACCCATGTCCAGCCACTTAAATCCACAGGGTTACAGAGATGATGGAAGATGCGCTGTGAACATCTGCAATGGGAGGTGTTGCTTCAGAGGAAGCATTTGCTCATGCACAGGAAAACTCCATGTGAATAAACTAACGTGTGAATTGAAAGTGGATTAGCACTGCCACGTGAATGGATGGATCCTTTGGATTCTTCTCTTCAGCATTAAACCGGTCCTAATTTGTTTCAGCGTAATTATGAAAGAGGATGTTATACAGGCTTTAATGAGATCTAATGTTCTCACCACAGAACTTAGCCTGGGTTCATTTCTTATGTCTCTCAGCAGGGGTGGGATTGGAATGTAGTGTTGAATTTTTTTAGTAGGAAACTTGTATTGTCTTTACCTCAGGTTTTAATAACTGATTCTGATAATGATGTAATCTGGTTTTATTGTGATTATGCTGTTTTTAATCACAGGATATAAAAGCTCTGAATAAGCAATTAATTAATCCTCACCAAGTCCCTGCAAGGTTGGTAAAATCTTTGTAAGAGTCACCGTATGGCTTTTCCCATGGAATACAGCTAGGCAAAGCAGTGCAATGAGGCACGGGAGGGATGATGAGTATCTAACTGTACTGAATGGATGGGTGGAGTTAAGCAAGAAAAAGATGTTATTGACCAGTTTAGAATTTGGTTGCACCACCACAGTGCACACAGGAGGAAATGTCAGGGGAGCTCCAGCAATCTGGGCGTCCATTTTCTGTCTGTCCCAACCCACCCCACTCATAGCAGCGCTGCACGCAATGTGCCATAGTGGGAACAGCTAATAGCAGGGTGTGCATATCGTGGATTAGAAGTAATTTATCTGATTTCCTTTTATTTTGAAATAGGATTTACCCATTTAAATTAGATTTTGTTAAAAAAAAAAAAAAAAGAAGGGAAGAGGAAGAAAAAAGCATTGAGCTCCCGACTGCTGTTTGCAGGCTGACTGCGTGTTGACAGATTGCTCTGCTGGTGTTGCAGTCCCTTCTCTGTCAGAGCAGCTTCTTTCTTTTCCCCCATGGATAGTTTATTTTCTGCTCAATGCTAAGTCTTGTGTTTGTCTTACTTCTTTAAATGAGAGCAAGCACTGCGCTTTTGTTCTGCTCCTTTTCCAGTGCCATTTTGCTGATCTTCTCTGTGTGAATCTGAAAGGTCAGGAAAACAAATCAATACGGAAAAGGACCTCCTGCCCCTTTTAACCTAACCTGTGGGAGGGAGGAGGGAGAAATAGCCAATGACATGAAAGGGAATTTTAAGTATGCCCAAAAAAAGCACAGTGGGAGTGAGGGTTTGGAAGGACAGGTGTCCACACGACCAGCCTCTGCATTTCACAGCGCGTCTTTATGAACTCACGGTCATCTCCTCTGCAGCAGCATGCAGGGGTGATCCATACAGCTGTAAGGCATCGAACCTGTAACAGTTCTGAGAGGAAGGAGGCAATGGCCCTCGTGCTTTTGTATCACTGACTGTGAAGGGCTTTGCTGGTTAGAAACTCACCACACGACCTGAAAGCCAGCGAATGGCAACAGCTGCCTTGTCATGGTGAGGTGGGCCTCGGTTCTCTCTGATGCCCTGTCCTACTTCCACTGCTGCTGGTAAGCAGCTCCTCTTGCTGTGGACAGTCACCGTGCAGAGCAGAAGGGAACTGGAGAGAGGTTGTGTGCCTCTACAGCAGCTGGATGCTGTCACTGGAACAGTGAGGCCTCGTCAGAAAACCAATGTTATAGTTTTCTGTTAAATGTTTCAATGTTAAACCTGAATGTTATAGCCAAGGCTACTAATTATGACCTCTGTTCCCAACATTCACCCTCAAGTATTCATCTGAGAGCCTCCCAATACTGGGCACTCCTAGAAGCTTCCTTCATTATCAATGGAGAGGAAATAGCTATCCTGTTCCTCTCCAATGGTGAAGACTTCTAGATTGCTCATACAGGGTCTTTGTGCAGGTGTCTAACATTAGATGCAGCATTTCTCTGCAGCAATTAAAACGTCAGTGTGTTATCACAAAATGCAAAACACCAAAGCTCTATGTTGAAAATCAACTCTATCACAGCCAAAAAAAATTGATAAATGCACAAGACAATTCTTTTGGAAAGAGAACAGGCTGCCCAGGGAGGTGGTGGAGTCACTGTCCTGGAGGCGTTCAGGAAATGTGTGGATCTGGAACTAAGGGTCATGATTAGTGGGCATGTCGAGGATGGGCTGGTGGTTGGACTAGGTGATCTTAGAGGGCTTTTCCAACCTTTATGTTTCTATTATATTCTATTCGAAAAGAGCAGGAGTCAATCACATCACCTCAGCCCTCGAGTGTCCTCAGGTTGGTGTTCCTGGAGTATGTGGGCTGTGGCATTTCAGCTGTTGATGAGTCATGTAGTCACACACTTGTGGCATGATGGGCTTCTCATCACATATAAGCTATGTATATTATCTGCACAAATACACTTGCCATGTGGCCCACTACAGGCACTGACTCTGGGATACCAGTCTTTCTCTCTTTAACAATTCCACAGAAGACCTTGCATGAACCTTGCAAGTCAGCCAAAGTTGGTTTCATTTGGAGTAGCTGCTGCTTGTTTTGTTGATCAGTTTGAGTTTGTTTCTGATTTTGCTTCATATTCTTCTTCCACTGTGGCTTGCAGAAGTTGCCTAGAAACCATCTCACATCAGCTCACTCATCCAGGATGCACAGCTTCCCATATGCCAGCAGAGAGATAAGCTTAACTTCCTAATTTTTTAAAGAAATGCAATTAACCCTCCTTCCCTCTCCCAAAGATGTGATATCTGAGAACTCACATTAAAACAAACAAACAAAAAAAAGATTGCTGAAGAAAGTCTGGAGTGCATATCGTGTGGGGGGGTGTGGGTAGAGAAGGAAGAGAAAGCTTTCCCAAGGCAGTGGCAGAGCCAGAACCATAACAGCCCCCACTCAATAGTCCTTAACACAACCCTTCACAGCCTCTAGTGACAGAACAGCTGCAGACTTAGTTTGACCAAGATTTACACTTTCATGTCCCTGCTTGTTAAAATATTATGCCCTTCACCACGTGTCCCATCCAGAGCCTTCTCTCAGCTCTTCCTATCTTTCACAGTAGTTGTAACCAGCTGCTTGGTATGAAAATTGATGGGATTCCTCATGTTCTTCCAGGATAAAGTCAGCTCACTTGTGATAGATGCAGAGGAACTGGCAGCACTAAACAAGGATATGGTGGTCAAACAGACCTGTGCAAATGGACCTCAGAAAATAAATGGGTTGTCTGTACTGAACTAGTAGAAGTGGAGCTTTGAACACAAACCCAAAGGTTTTAATAGGCTCTCAGGGAAAATTCAAGTTTGGGTTGATCTGTGGTGCTTCATCTTGAAAATTTTTATTTTGGGGTGATCGTCCTTTTTCCTTTGAACAACTGTTTATGAGGGTGGGTAGTGACAGGACAAGGCAGAATGGTTTCAAACTGAGATGGGGGGTTTAGACTGGATATTAGGAAGAAGTTTTTCACACAGCAGGTGGTGAGGCACTGGAACAGGTTGCCCAAGGAGGCTGTGGATGCCCCATCCCTGGAGGCACTCAAGACCAGGCTGGATGTGGCTCTGGGCAGCCTGGGCTGCTGGTTGGCGACCTGCACATAGCAGGGGGTTGGAACTGGATGAGCACTGTGGTCCTTTTCAACCCAGGTCATTCTAGGATTCTATGGTTCTATGATTCTATGATTCCATGCAACTTCCTTGTTAAATGAAAAATGCCACCTCAGAAAGAAGTGCTGAAAGGAATTAAATGCTGCTTAAATTGGAAATGAATGTTTCAACACTGAGTAAAGGAAAGAAAAATAAATGCTGCCTTTGTGGGACTTGAAACAAGTAAATTTGGATTGTATTTCCCAGTGTTTCTCTTCTCCAGACTCCACTTTCTGGCAATGTTTGCTATGCTGTAGCTATTCTCATTGTTTGAAGACAATAAGTAGAGGTTTTAAGGACTAACATGAACACCTGCATAGTGGGAGACTGCATTGCAATTTCCAAGTGTAATTCCCAAATTGTCACTTGTCCTCTCTCTGTTTTTTAATGCTCCTCTCTTATTATTTTTGGCTTTTTTTGTCAGGTTGGTTGAATATGCTCCCTATGATATATATGAGATTGGCATAGGAAACATTTATTGGAATCATGAACATGACACTCCGTGTCCAGCATCTTTTTAAGGCTCCAAGTTGATATCTTCTCTGAATAGTTCCTCTGCTCAGCCTTCATTGATGGACATCAAAGACTTCATACAGCACCTCTATTGCAGAGACCAGTAAGTAAATTCACTTTTAAAGGTGACATGTCAGGGACACTCGAGCAGGACTTGTTTCTTTCTTCTCCTAAATCTTGCAAACTCTCTTTTCGTTATTCCTGCAGCAACCTGTTGCTCAACAGTATCAGGTCAAAACCTTCTCTTAATACTGTATGATACATGGTCAGATGTCTCAACATCAGTAGTGCTCTGAGGCATGTTGTGCCTGCCTTCTAGCTTTGGGATGGATTGCAGGCATTCATTTTGCGAAGCCTGGTGTGAATTGAACTCTTTGAACTCTAGAGTACTGTTCCTTCACCATAGCATGGTCCATGGTCCATCACTGTTGGAAGTAGCAACCTTCTGCTGTAAATGGCTTTTGAGTGGCTGACTCATCTCTGTGTTATAAGTCAGATTCTCTGAGTGTGTGGCTGAGGTCTCTCAGTGTATATTGGCAGTTACTGACTGTTCCCACCTTTCATGGGGTGAAACGTGAGCTCCAAGAGATGTACAGGATTTACTACCATGGTGGGGGTCAGGATACTGCATTTCAGAAGAGAGATGCTAAATCTGCTTACAGATTTAAATGCACACATTGCTCTTGGCAATGTAAGCCATCCTGTAAGTCTTGAACGCTGACCTAAGGAAATATTTCTAATAAAGACATCTTATTTCCTGGAAATTAGAGTGCATGAGAGGCTTTTATCTGAAATCATGTGGAGTTTCACTGTTAATAATGTAACAGACCGAAGAAGCCTTCATATTGCAGGGGAAACAGTGCCACTGCCACTGCCCAAATATCCACTTCTTCTGGTCCCAAGGAATTCGAAGACAAAGGCCTTTAAAATGGAGTGCTTATTTCAGCAATTCAAGGTTTAAAACATAGGTGGGTATTCAAAAGAAACCCTTGCATGTTACTCCAAGAAAGATACAGATTAAATCTAGTAAACAGTCCTAATTTTGCCCAGCAAATCTGTAAGCAAATAAATTGATTTCAGATGTAAACGCTCAAGTGCCTTCCTGCACAGTGGCATGGCACTAGCATGAGTAACCAGTCACCTCTCTGCAATCACAGCCAGAGTGGGGGGCCCACTGGTGTGGGTGTAGGGAACATGGTTTTGATCACAGTGCTTTATGAATCTCTTAAGTTAATGTAACGAGTTGCAAATTTTTTATTTTCACCTGCATAAGCAGTGATTTCTGAATGTCAGGAGCACTTGCTTTAGACAGTAAATTCAGCAGCATAGCAGAGCAATGCAAAGCAGAGTATGCCTGGCTTAAAACTGCTTTGAGTTACCTGAGTGCAAAATGACTGGGCCCACAACAATACAAGGCTCTGATTTTTGGTTGATTGATGGGGATATCTGAGCAATTGGCAACTTGAAAGCTCCTACTATACTGGTGGGAATCCCAAACACACCTTGTCAAACTTGAGCTGGCATTCAGTTGAGTTGTCTTAAGTAACTCTCTAGTTGCCTCTGCAGATAGAAACACAGAATCACAGAAAATCCTGAGTTGGAAGACACCCACAAGGATCAGTCCAAACCCTGGCTCCATACAGCACTGCCCAAAATCAAATCCTATGTCTGAAAACGTTGTTCAAATGGTTCTTGAACTCCAGCAGCTTGGGGCTGTGACCGTTGCTCTTGGGAAGCCATTCCAGTGCCCTCTCATTGAAGAATCTTTTCTTAATATCCCCTCGTATAAGTCAGAAGGGCTGAATTGACTCTTGCAAGTGCCATATCCTCCCATGTTGTTCCTGGATAAAATCTGTGCAACTAATTCAGAGTGGGTGCATGTGGAACTGATGGGCCATCAGGACCAGCAACCTTTTGGCTGCAACCACTGCTGATCCCTCTGAGCATAGGTCAGGGCACATTATCCACGGGCACCTCTGAGCCATGGGGTAGTTCTTCAAATATTGCTGAACAGTGGAAACAGTGGAAACGACTGCTTTGTTGAGTTGATCCTGCCAGCAGTCAATACAGCCATCTCACTTACACCAGTCATTACCAGCTCAGCATAGTTACAAGTTAATGTCTTCAGATACAGCCTGGGCACTCAAGGCTTTCATTTTGCTGTGCATGTGATCACTGAACAGCGAACAGCACTAAGAATCACAAAGACAGTCTTTTATTTTTATTTATTATTATTATTAAATACAAAGCAGTGAATGAATATTACTGTAAACCTCCTGAGAACTCACCTCACACAGTACTGCCAGCTTTTAAAAGCATGGACACATTAATCATAGGTAACAAGATCGAGTTCCTGTTTGCAGCTGACCCGCTATCTGAACATCACGGTGTGGCTGGTACTTCTCTTGGTACTTCTCTACCACAGACAGTTATGTCTGGTGGCATTCTTCTGTTTCCTGCCAGTTTTGTCCTACCTGTCCTCAGTTTCCAGGCTATGTTAGCATCCCCTATAGAAGTTAATCAAGTTTTCAAGGCACAGCGAGCCCTCGTTGAACATGGTTTCATCAAGAAGAAGCAGTAAGCAGAAGAACCACACAACTAAGACAGAAGGCTAATTGCAGTCAGAGAGATTTGGCACTCCAGTTTTTCAGAAGTGCAAGAAAAGGCATTCGATTGCACATAGGTAATAAAATGTGACACAGTTTCTGTAGTGCTGTGTACAGCTTAACAAGGCCTCTGCTGCTGAGTCCTTGGATGAAAAAGGCTGTTACGCCGTGTTGCTGTAGTTTCTGAGTAAGTTCATCATGTTCCTTGCTATAAATTCATATGCACCTTTTGCTTCATTCTGAAGCTTTCATCTGCAGTTGTAGTTAAAAGTTGCAGCCAACTTTATTCTCTCGTTTCGTTCATGTGGAGCAATCTGGCTGCTATCAAAGTCGTGAAGTAGAAGGAGACCACAGTGCAAAACTCAAGTGTTAAAAATAAACAGCAGGCCCAATCTTCACAATGCTGGGCTGGATTTCCACTGAAGTCAACTACAGCTCAGCCTCTCTTCTTGGGCACGCCTGTCTGTATGGACGTTTTATTCAGCTTAGCGGTCAGAAATCGTGCAAATTTGAATTTAATAAACATTCAAGAATGTGCCTCACAAAGCTCTCATTAAGCACATCCTCCCACACCGTGCTGTTTTGGCAGCTGCCTCCGACGTCTCCCAAGCCCATAAAAGCACCTGGGTAAGGTATCTGTCTGCTCGGACTCGGCAACCTATCCATAAATTCCTAGCTGTCATGCCTCTGCTGAAAGCTGTCAGGGGGCTGCTGGAGGAAAAATTATCCCAAGCTCCAGCCCTGTCTTCTGTCTAGACATATTCTCCTTACCTGGCATACCACGGAAGCAGGGAGGAGTGCTGGGACGTTCACTGATACTGCATCTGGGAATCATGATAAATAGAAAACGTCTGAGAGCTGAAACTCAGCGTATAGATCTGATGTGCACAAGTGCCACCCAGCACCTGCAGCCTTGGAAGCTGTGTTGGAAGATAAGTGCGTTTTTACGTGTGCTCCTTAAGGTTGTTACCAGCCTCCTCCTCACCGCAGATCATTTAAGTGGGGAAATAAATGCCGGCAGCCAGGCTCTAATAAACAGCGGGAAAGATGCTTGGCTGGGGTAAACTGGGGTGGGCAGATGATAGGTGCAGCATTTGGGAGATGAGGAGGAGACAGCAAATGCATATCCAAGGACTGAAGGCTCTATCGAGAGATACCTTTATTTAGATGAAACGTTATGCCCTAGCAATACTGGGGCTGCTGCTCTGGACTCTAAATGAGATTCTGTGCTGAGTCCAATCTTTGATGGAATTGGATTAACAATAGTGCTCATTCCTGCTTATTATGTGTCCGGCAGTACCTGTCATGTCTCTCTGGTGTTTGCAGCAAATAATGCCTCCAGCAGCTGTGAGGGCTTTGTGCTCCTACCAGAAATGCCGCCTCACAGAAGGCACACTTTGACCATTTTGGCTTTCATCATGGAGTGATTTGAGCCTTTTGGCCTTCCTTCCCTTCTGCCTGTGCTAGTTCATGAAACAGCAGAAACTTTGCAGAGGGGACAACTTCATCTCCCACCTTCTTTCATAGCCTCGCTAGCTCCTCACCCCTAAGTCCCAGCACTGTAGTGCAGCCTCAACCCCTGCACAGGCTCTCATGACTGCTGTTGTGCTGGGAGCTGTTCCCTAACAGCTATGAAATCCAAGCTGGAAAGTTCCTCCGTTCTGCTTCATCATCGGCTGCACCAAAACAGTCTTGAAAGCCCAGCTGGAGGCAGGGCAACTGAGGCACATGGGGAGGGTTGTCTCTAAAACAACATGTTGGAGGAAATGCTTTAGATTTGACACACATGGCTTCAGTATGGGAGCTGTGTTTGGAGAAAATACGGAAATAATAATAGCACTTTTAATCTTCAAAGTGCTCTTCATTCGCTAACTAATGAGTGTGATGTTCGGCTTTACAAATTGGTCATACTCTGAAAATGCATTTGGTAGCAAAGAGCAAGGGTCAGGCTTTCTGCTACTGTAATGCCTTTGAAGTGTCAACACCAATCTCACGGTGTTAAAATTAAGGAGTAAAGTCCATTGTAAGGGTACAACATCTTGTTGAGTCAATGAAAATGGCATGCCCCTAAATGAGAGCAGAATCATACTGAAATTAATGACATACTTACCACATATATCCTTCCACTGTAATGCATGTGATTACTGGCAGCATCTGCCCTCCCATATGAACAGACCTGAGCGTTAGGACATATGAGCTGGGTACTGGTGCTAATGTAAGACTGAATATACTCACGCTTCACATACTTGTTTCTGTGGGATCCTCTGCTGGAGGAGGAAGAATGTGTTCTAGGTTTTCCCCTGCACTCCAGGATCTAGTGAGAGCTTCGCTGTGGGTGTGAGGTTTTTCCCCCAGCTTTTGTCTGTCAAGGTGGCTGTGGCTCCAGCCCAGTTTATGGGCAGAATCATAGAATCATAAAATGGCTTGAGTTGGAATGGATCTCAAAGATCACCCAGTTCCAAATTCCTGCCTGGGCACCAAATCAGGTTGCTCAGGG